GGCGACATGGCAGGGCAGGCGGGTGCAACACGTGCCGCGCGCGGGCTCAGCCGGGATTTCTCAATGGAAGCAGGCGCGCGTGGGAGCAGCTGCAGGGTCCAGCAGCGACAGCGACACCACCACCACCACCAAGACCAGCGCCGCCAGCAGCCAGCAGCCAGCAGCCAGCAGCCAGCAGCCAGCCAGCCAGCAGGCAGGCAGGCAGCGCCGCCCGCTTCAGCAAATCGGCAGGCGCCGTGTGGGCGAGGGGGGCCAGCCATGGGCAGGGATGGCTGGCCACAACCAAGGCAGCATGTCGGATGGGCTCGCTCCGGTGGTCGGAAAACAGTCACAAGGACGGGATGATGTGTTTCGGGCACGACGAGGGGGACAGGACACGATGGGTGTATGTAATTTGTACATGTACGAGGGACGGCCGTAGGGGGCACGCTTTAAGGCGCTGGGGCTGCGACTGGGGCTGGGCTGGGGCTGGTGGGCGAGGGCACCCCCTCATCAGAAAAAGTGATACAACTCCTAAGCTGCCTTTCAGCTAGCGCTATATAGTAGCTTACTATCGAACAGTGCTAAGTGTAGCCTTTAGATAATAACAACCCCTTTCTTCTTAATAAATACTACTATAGTAGTAGTATAATAATATTAAGATAGATTTTAAAAAGCTATTGTAGTTGTAAAGATATCGACGTAGAAAGTTCCTATCAAAACTTTGGTGTTCTGTGGGCACGGACGTGTATCACTTTTTCTGATGAGGGGGTGAGGGCGAAGCACGACATGTGCGGGTCGCAAGGCTAACGGCGATCGTTTGGCAGCAGCAGCCAGGGGCGCTGGGAGCTGGGCGCTGGGCGCGAGCGAGCGGAGGCGAGGGGGGCGAGGGGGGCGAGGGGAAGGGAGGGGCGAGAGAGAGAGAGAGAGCAAGAAAGAGAGAGAGAGAGCGAGAGAGAGCGAGAGAGAGAGAGAGAGAGAGCGAGAGCGCAAGAGTACCCCAGAAGGATAGACAGACCATGGGGAAGCACAGCGCGCCGCCGGGGGCGAGTGCCGTGGCTGGCTGGCCGCCTGGAAGCTTTGTTGGGCCATGGTGAGATTCTCGGGACGACAGGCCAAGTATAGCAGACGCGCAGAGCAAGGCGCGTAGGGTGTGCGAGGTGTGCGAGGCGTGCGAGGTGTGCGAGGCGTGCGAGGTGTGCGAGGCGTGCGAGGTGTGCGAGGCGTGCGAGGCGGGCGCGGCGGGCGAGGTGTAGCAGCGTCTCATGTGGGTGAATGGGTTAGAGAGGGTCGAGGTTAGCGGGTAGGTGTAGTCGTCTGTGTAGTAAGAGGGCCCAAGACAGGCAAACAGCCGAGGCGAGTCCGGCCAGTGCAGCTACAAAGCGCCGACCTGGCCGCGACACTGGCTGCTGGGCTCGCTGGCTGGTGATATTAGTTGATGCTAAACATGTCCACACACGCCCAGGGAGTGTGTATCCCACGCGCGGCGGCGGGCTTTCCTCGGATCTGTGTCCATGGCCTGTGTCGTCGGCTGCGCCACGTGGAAGGGCTCAGCTAGCAGCCGTGGCCATGACGGCGATTCTCAGCATCGTGATTAGCTGTGCTGTACGTGTAGGATACCACTGTATAGTATAGTCGACCTGGCGGCAACGCGTGCTCGCGCCCGTGCCCGTGCTCGTGCCCGGCCATGGCTCTGACGGTAGTTGCCAGCCGGCCAGTGCAGTGCAGCATGCCCTTCTAGAAGACGGGCGCCCGGCATGCGCCAGGCCTGCGCGCGAGAGGGGCGGCGGCCACGGCGGCCACGGCGGCGGCCAGTCAGCGTCGCCATGGTCGTTGCCGTGGCCCTGGCCGCTGTCGTCGTCGTAGGGCAGGCGGTCGTCGTGTGTCGGCGTCTGTGTACTATACTATACTAGCAGCAACCGTGTGGCCGTGCATGGCTCCTTCGCCCCGCGACCATGAGACGAGACGGCACGCCGGCGTGGCCATGGGCTGCAAAGCACACGACGAAACAACCTCGGCCGGCCGTGCCGTGTCCCCAAGCTGCACACGCTCACACACACGCACTCTCTCTCTCTCTCTCGCTCTCGCTGCTCACCTGACCGGCAATTCACTGCACGCACGCCACCACGCGCGCGGTACCTGTCGCCCTCGCCCTCGCCCTCGCCCGCCCTCGCCCTCGCCCGCCCTCGCTGCCCGTGGGATTCTCGTGCCGGGCGCCCATTTCGTCATCTCGTCTATTCCTACTGACACTACACTGGACTGGCTCTCGCAGCGATCGCCCCTTCGTCAGAGTTGCACCTTTGCTGCCCGGCGACGCATCCAGCTCACAGTAGCGCCTGCCCGCAATTGGCCGCACGCCCACCCACCCAGCGCCAGGGATCCTCGAAGCGCGCCCAGCAGTCGGCCGCTTGTCCCCTCGACCCTCGTCACCGCTTTCACGCCAACATATAGCCCCCCCAGGCCCCGGCTACCCTCACGGCCATCGGGACTTTTTTTTCCAGGACCACCATCACTACCGCCTGCTACCACTACAGCCATTACTATCGCCGGCCACAGCATTGCTACTGCCGGCCCGCCCTCTGCTTCTTCTCCCTCTTCTCCCTTGCACCACCACCACTACTACTACTACTACCGCCGCCACCACCACTACTCTCTGCCTCTGCCGCCACGCTCGCAGCATTGTCGGCAAACAAATAACCCCTCGGGCGGCAACATCGTCGTCCACAGAACACGCGCCCGCCCGCACGCACACACACCCCGCCCAGGCGCCACACCATCACCCGCCGCCGCCGCACAGTCAGCCGGGACCGCGCCTCACCCAACTGCGCCTATCCCCACCACCACCACTACCACCACCACCACTCTTTCCCTCCCTCCCTCCCTCCCTCCCTCCCCCCCCCATTGACTTCGCCCACCGCGAAGCTGGATTCCTACGAGCACCCCCCTCCCCTCACCCACTCGCCGCGCGAATCCACTGCAGCGAGCACCCCCATCACCACGCCCATCGAGCAGCCCTCATCGCCGCAATTTGGCCGCGTCAAAAAGGACCCCAACGCTAGCCTCGCCAGCCTCTGGCACCGCAAGCCCCAGGAGCTTGTGGCCAGCCGCCACCCCGACTCGGGTCTGCTGTTCGAGGACGCCGGCGACTGCAGTTTTTCGCTGTTCCCCGAGGAGCCCCACGTCCACAGCGGCGGCTTCGCAGACATGGCCACAGCCTCGCCCATCGACATCCAGACGCCCCCGCGCTATGGCTCAAACTCACCCCCAAACCAGACGTCCAACCTGACGTCGGCCCTCAAGCAGGCCGAGGCCCAGCCCGACCTGGCCACCACGCCCAGTCTGCTCAACCCCGCCAACTTTGAATTCAACACGCACAACGCCCACAACGCCCGCCCCAGCATCAGCGATCGCCACCCCTCCATCAGCATGCTCGGCTCGTCGTTTTACGGCAACAGCGCCGCCCGCCCCATCACCATGAAGGACCGCGGCCGTCGCGAGAGCACAAACATGGGCAGTTTCGCGGGTGGCATGAGCTGGGGTGGCCACTCGGTCGGATCGTGGATTCGCGATGAGTAAGTTTTTCCCCACCGCTTTCGGTCCGCACCGGCGGAAATAACTAACACGGTTGCAACAGCATCATGATGGGCACCTCACCCGCTCCCTTTGCCAACAACTCGCCCTCGTTCCACTCGTCGTCTTACCTGCCTAAAATGGAGGCCGCCTTTATGAAGGACTTTACCTGCTGCGGCCTCACCCTTGCCTCGCTCCACGACCTGCTCCAGCACTTTGAGGAGACGCACGCAAATGCCCCCGCTGCACGCCCCCAGCAGCCCCCGACAAACGGCTTCACCTCGACGTCGGGCGCTCCAACAAGCTCGATTGCGCCCAGCCAGACACAGGGCGACCCATCGTTCAACACACAAAACGGCTTCCAGCCACGCTCGGGCTCAATGGGCGCACACCGCCCGCGGATAGGCTCCGTCAGCCGCTCCAATCTATCGACTGTCCAAGACATGGATTCGCTGGACGACATGGACATGGACGACATCAACTTTGACACGCTGGGCTCCATTGACGAGCAGCAGCAGCAGCAGCAGCAGCAACAACAGCAACAGCAACAACAGCAACACCCGCAGCAGCAGCAACAACAGCAGCCCATGCAACAATTCCCCGTTCAGAACCAGTTCAACCCCAACCAAAACCAACAGTCCAATCTCAACGTCAACATGGCCAACAACATGCAAAACCACCAAGGTATGCGCACATCATCGCCCAACACGCCTTCGGCGTCGCAGCAATTCAACCTCCCAAATAACCCCACCGTGTCGTCGGTCAACACACCGACAATGGGCACCATGCCCATGGCCAACCACAACCTAACGTCGCCAGAATCATCACACCCGGGCACGCCGGCCGAGCTCGACATGGACTTTGGCGGCTTCAACCCAATGATGGGCATGGAGATGAACATGCCCATGGGCATCAACTTTGGCAATGGCAACGGAAACGGCAACTTTGGCATGGGCGGCTTCGACAACAACGGCACCATTGACCAGCCAGGCAAGCGACTCTTCAGCAAGCAAGGCGCCGGCCTCAACCAGGCACAGCTGCAAGCCGCGCTCAAGAACTACCAGCTCAGCGGCAACGACCAAAGCGAAATGGCCCGCCGGTTACGCGAACAGCAACTGCTCAACGGCGCGAGCATACCGCAATTCCCCTTCCCCGAGGAGATTAAGCCATTCCGATGCCCCGTCATTGGATGCGAAAAGGCATACAAGAACCAGAACGGCCTGAAATACCACAAGCAGCACGGCCACCAGAACCAGCAGCTCAAGGAAAACGACGACGGCACATTCTCGATTGTCGATCCCCTGACGTCGATCCCCTACCCCGGTACAGTCGGCATGGAGAAGGAGAAGCCATATCGCTGCGAGGTCTGTGGCAAGCGGTACAAGAACCTCAACGGTCTCAAGTACCACCGGTCGCACGCACCCCACTGCAATCCCGAGCTGGCCATGCAGAAACTCGGCCTCACGGGCAATCTGCAGAACCTGCAAAACGCCAATGTTGCTGGTGCGGGAATGGGCGGTATTGATCCTTCCATGTTCTAAAGCACGCCTGTATGCCTTTTTTTTTCCTCCCTCCCACCTTGTCCGGGGCTGCTCTACCCGTCTGCGTCTCGCCAGCTTCTTTCCTTGCCATAATACCCCGGGCTTCAGCACCCGATCCTCACAAGACGAAAAGGACATGACTGGTTTCATCTCTTGGTTGTCTGCATCACCCTGGCGTTTTTCAGATTGGAGAGCCAAGTTAGAGGCATCTTCTCCCAAGCCAGCCAGCTCTGACGCTTGGATAAATGTCGGTCGGCCCGCCACGTGTTTCACTTCGTGTTCATCTCTTCCGAGATGCATCTTCTTGACCAGCGTCGCGCATGGTATGACGATTTGATGTGCATTGCCGAGGGGTGCTCAACACCTGTATCGCTAATTTCTGTTCTCGTTTCCTTATTGTTCTTTTTTTTTCAACGCGGAATATCCCTGGGTTGCGGTCGAAATATTTCTCAAATCGCTAGACTTTTGGTCTTTGTAACGGCGTTCAAATCGCACAGTGAAAAAAAGTTTGTTTCAACATTAGGTTCATGACTATGGGCTGTATCTCTCTGTTTTGTTTGTTTTTCTCTATCTCTCTGAAATGGGTATTATGTTTTATGTTTTGTTTGGGGGGGTTTTTTGTTTGGAACCAGATAGATTTTGATGGATCTTGACTGTCATGTTTAGTAGAGAAAGAAGATGAAGAAGATGAAGAAGATGAAGAAGAAGAAGAAGAATGGAGGATTCCGTAATACCACACTCTACATACACATATGATGACTTTTTTTTCGGATTCCAAATGTCTTGCGTGTCGTGCGTGTCTTGCATGTTGTCTTGTCACCGTGTCGTGTTGCATGTCGCATGTTTCGCATGTCGCATGTCGCATACCGCCCGCGTGTGTGTCTCTGTCGGTCCATGACTTGTCTCAGTTAGACGAGGCAGTTAGGCCATGTTAGTTTAACCGGCTCAAATGCCGTGCTGACACAATGCCCAGACAATGGCACGTCCCATTGTCCCAAAGCTGTGGCTATGTACCATGTGACTAATAAGTAATAATTCCATGGACAAATCCGAGCTTACTTACTATGTATACTTGTGGAGAGAGAGAGAGAGAGAGAGAGCCCTTGCACCCTCGTAACACGTATGCTAAGACCCCGAGGAGATGTGCACCTCTTTGGCTTTTTCTCCAGATTCCCCGATTCCTGGTTATCGTATAGGGTATGCCCTGTGCCCTTGTGCCCTGTGCCCTTGTACGTGTATGTATGTATGTGTGTGTGTCTGTGTGTGTGTGTGTGTGCCTATGCCGATGCCCATTATGCCAACTTGGCTTGCCTCGTATCGTGCTACCCGCTAACTACCCAACTAGCGCATGTGTACATACATACGTACATACGTGCATCCATACCTAGTTCATTTACCCGCAAGCTACAGACATACATACATACATACATACATACATACATACATACATACATACATACATACATACATACATACATACATACATACATACATACATACATACATACATACATACATACATACATGGTAACCAACCAACTACCAAACGCATAGATACCAACACACGCACCATGACGCATGGATATCCATGTCTCTTTTTTTTTTATTTCTTATCTAGAATTTAGGTTTCCAGAGCACATCCAAGTACTCGTACTTGTACTATAGGTAAGTGCAGTAAATTGATTTCCCCCCGTCCCACGGCTCCGGTCACGGTCACGGTCCCGGTCACGGTCCCGGGCGACGACGACGACGGCACATTTGCGCGGGCGAGGGGCGCACGAGGGGAGGAGGGGGCCCGGCCACACGGGCGGCCACATATTTTGGCGGCGGCAAGGCGGCGGCAACACGGCCACACGGCCACACGGGCGGCGAGACTTGATAGTGCCATCGATACAGACACGACAAAGACAAAGACGTACGTACGTACATGTCTAAGTTTCGATCTTGCGATCTGGTAATATCCTTGGGCTGGATACTCGCTGCGTCGTTGCTCGGGGGGGTTGGGGGGTTCGGGCCTGCTTTGGCCAAGGTAAATGCAGTCTGTGTCTGTGGGTTTTTCGGCATATCGTATGTAGTAAGTAAGTAAGTAACTAAGTAAGTAGTGGGAGGGAAATTCCATCGAGTTTCTACGTAGTTTCTACCTTAGTTGCGCCATCCAAGTAAACGGATACGTTTTGCCTTCAACCTGGTCTTTTGCACCTGGTTTCACTCTACATTGGTCTGGGCCTTTTGCGTGTACGTCGTCTGATTACTTGACCTTGGCCTTGACCTTGACCCTTGACCTGGCTGTTTTCCTGCAGCTTTCTGACTAAGTGGTATTTTGACTTTGGCCCATCCATGGGGGGGGGGCATGGATCCAGGTGCCGTGGCGTGGCGTGGCACGGCACGGGCAGACCAGACGGGCATATACGCCTAGCTGTAGCATGGCCATGGTATAGTGATGGGGGATAGCAAGGAACCTAGTCTAGTACATATAATAAAGTATGCGTATGCATATGGGCATGGTATAGATTCCACGACACTGGCACGTGGTTCTGACTCGGTAGCTACTACTACTTACTACTTACTACTAGTACTACTTACTCTCGGCGTCGGTGTCTACATACATACAGTATGTGTGTGTGTGTGTGTGTGTCTGTGTGTGTGTGTGTGTGTCTGTGTGTGTGTGTGTGTGTGTCTGTGTGCGTGTGCGTGCATGTGGCCTTGTTTTTGCCCAGAATTTAGAGAGAGAAAGAGAGAGAGAGAGACAAAGGGCGTGGGCGCATGCACATGCGTTGCGTGGGACCGAGACCGTGCGTTGGTGCCGTGGCATGCCATGTGTGAGCCATGTGCGTGGGTAGCTAAGTAAGCCGAATACATAATACATGGGCCGTGAGATGGCGAGACGTGTGGTGGAGAAAGATTGAAGAGAAAGAGAGAGAGAGAGAGAGAGACAGAGGCAATGATTTTTTTTTGCCGCATGCTTAGATGGTTGGCTGCTTGCTTGCTTGCTACATCAGAAGAGTACGTATGTATGTGGGTGCGTGGGTAGGCCCATGTGGGTAAAGTAGCATAACGACTAGGGCAGTGGAGACGGCGACTACTGCGCGTCATGCGCTTGACCTACTGTTTAAGGAATAGAATGCCGCCATGCCATTGCTACCTGTCCTTTTCCAATCTCTCTCTTGTTATCGGCTCTAGGATGGTATGTCAAAGTACACACACACACACACATGCTGTCTTGCGCGCCTAACCCCCCAATGCTTCATCCATGTCGGTGGAACGACGGTTTTGCCGTAGTTGGCCGTTGCTTATTGTTGCGTCTTGGCTAGGCTGCTTGGCTACGGAGATCATATGGGATAAAGGACTCGGGCTAGGCTGCTTCGGTCGTGTTTTGCCGCTGTTGAGTCGCTGCAGAGACGCAGAATAAGTGTAAGCGTGCCGAGTGGATGGTTGGTGTCGTGGTTTGGTCGGCATGAATACATGTACATGGCAGGATTGGGCGAGTGGGTCGAGGTCGGGGTATTTCTGGAGTGGCAAGGGGCCAATATTAGTCTTGTATGTATACACGTGTAGGGTGTCTTGTTTGGGCAGAGCCGCAACATTGCTTTGATGCTATCGTATTCACGACCTGTATCCGTGTGCGTGCCCACGCCCTACCGGGCTACTAATACATGCGTATCCACATGGCCGGGAATTTGCAATGCAGAGCACAGGACACGCGAGACACGGACGGAGAGCAAGAGGGCAAAAAGGTGGGCTGTTAGGGGTGCCCGTGACTGGCCATGGTACCTGCGGCGAACAGGTTCAGCTAACCAAAGCCCGCGAGCTAGCCAAAACCCATGGGCAGCACACACTGACCACGTGAACATTCCCACCAATAGTCCCGTCTCACGTGTACAGGTGTGCAGTGCGGCTCTTGCGCATGCCTCCCTAATCGCGCGTCAACTTTGTCGCTGTCGCACACACTCGCCTTCTGTGTCCTCTTAGGTAATGCTCCTCTGGCTTGCCCCCCCCCCCGCCCGCTCAACCACACCAGGCATGCTACACACACACACATCTCGGCCAGCCCAAACAGAAGGAGCCAGCGCAGCAGATCTTCTTGGGCCCTTCTAGCTACATGCCCGCCGCCCTGGCCCTACTGCACGACACACGGCACGGCATAGCACGGCACGGCTAAGGAGAGAAAAAAGGGGACCCTGTGCCGTGATACATACTGTCGACTACGTTGCCGCGGCGTTATGGGTATGGATCGGGTGGTGGGTAATTGGGCGTGGAGAGAGAGAGAGAGAGAGAGAGAGAGAGAGAGAGAGAGCAATGGTGTAGAGGCCAGTCATGCAACAGAAGGCGGACCAGAGTCGAGAGCAGGCGGTGTGAAAGTCCCATCATCGGGGGGTAATAGAAACTCCACTTTTGGGCATCGTGACTATTTTTTCTTGGCCTGCGTGCACTGCAAGGGATGGGAGCAGTGGGGCTTTTATTGTGTTTTGCCCGCGTGGGGACGACCGCGGCGGGAGGTGGTAGTGGTAGTGGTAGTGGTTGTGGGATGTTGGGAGATTGGTGCAGCTGGGCCAAATTGGGGTTGAGAGGGAGAAAAAAAATGTGGCTTGCCCATGCGGTGGCGCAGAGGGTGGCGCCCATCACGTGCCGAGTCGTCTTGACACTGACGCTGGGTACAAGAGATGGGTTTGCGTTGGCCATTTCGACCACGGTACTGCTTTGATTGATTGACTCTTCACTTGCGCGCTGTCGTTACATGGCGCTCATGGCTTGCGCGTGCTGATACATTACTTAGGCTGACAATGCTCGACTAACCATGCACCAAGCACGACGCACTGCATCGCACATGCTTACTACGCAGCCTCTTTGCAGCCCGTTGGACGCTTCGTCCCAAGATCGGTATCCCTAGATTAACTCACAGCATTTCCAGCCACCGTCACATAAATCAGCCAACGAGATGCGGGGAAATGCAAGCCAAGCGGGCTATCAACCGCCATGACGATTTGAGACCTCGCTTGTACGACACGCCGCAGCCACGAGCCCTGGTGGCACAGATATCTTGCACAGCAGCCCTGTAATCACTGGTGTAGCTTGCACTGCATCTCCCCTCCCTCTTCTTGCTCTGCACAACCCTGGCACCTACCGCTCAACGGGATTGCGACTTTGCCTCCGTGTCTTGGCAATGGCCGCGGCGACATACGGCACCTTTGGCGACGAACCAGAACACCATCCCGTGCGCAGGGTCAAGGCGCCGTGGAAGCTCAAGGCAGAGTGTTACACGCTGCTGTTGAGACTAAAAGAATTGCCCAAAGGAGCCCATGACGCATTTGAAGAGGCATGGGGAGGCGAAGAGTTTGGCACGTTTGCGGGTGGCTTGGGCTCCGTCATGATTGTGAGGTACAGTGATACGCCTGTCGGTATGTCCTCCCATTTGAGGTTTGAAGATCATGCTTCTGGGAATACATGTACAAAGTAGTCCTTGAGTCGGGTATTCGCATATAGCACAGTGTGTCACGTGGGGGTATCAAAGAGCGACCAAAACATCCATGGAGTGGTTTGTCTGACCACAAACAGGCCCATACGACGAACTCATGCTCGTCCCGGGCAACTTCAGCTTCCCCAACCCCACAAGCAGCGACGCGCCTAAGCTCCCCCAAAAAGCCCTCCGCATATCCCGCATCTACGTCTCCCAACGCACAACCGCCTACAACGGCCGCCTCAACTGGAACATCCCCAAGCACCTCGCTCGCTTTTCCTTTTCCGCTCCACCCACAGCCCCAGGCCAGTCGCCCCCACCGTCCCTCACCGTCCAGGTCTTTGCTCCAGGCACCACCGACGGCGACGGCACAGCCCCCTTTTTCGCTTGCACAGTCAAGCCATGGCAGTGGATTCCCGCTCTTCCTGTAAACACCAAATACATACCCCTTAGTCTTACCGTTGCCCAGCCCCCCATTCCGGAGCATGCTGGCTTCAAGGCGGCTGCCGCCAAAGCGGCAGTGGACAATGCCCACACAGTCGATGAGTATGATATCGATCCCGCAAAGGCTGGAGCGGTCCTGCCGGGCACAGATAGGTGGCGTGCGTTTGACGTTGCCGCAACGAGTCCCAGTGCGAGGGGGTGCTGGGTAGAGGTCCATGCAAGGACTGAGGAAGAGGGGGAGAGCGAGGAGAGTAAGGTCTTCTGGCCCAAGGGATTGACCATGTGGAGTGTGGGCGGGTGGATGGAGCATGTCAACTGGGTGCTTGGCGAGGTTATCGAGTGGATGTAAGTGTTCAATGGCACTGATGATTATAGCTTTTACTTGAATACAGGCTTATTGCTCCCTTGTTCGACTCTGTGTACGGGCAATTTTTTGTTTTTGCCTGGGCTGCATCTCCAGGGGGGAGTTGTGCCCATCTACTTTGCTTTGTAGGAACTGCTCGGCTGGCCTATTATTGTTATTATTATTATTGTAGTTTAACGTCCTTTCTCAGCCCAAAGGGCTATATAAGACGTGCAGGCTTAAGGCCTGCAAGTAACTACGTAGGCTAGAATTTAATCTAGGTACAAATTGAGTAGGTACAATGTAGGGGGTTATCTAAATGAAGGTGAGGCTCGTAGCCTAGTAGTTTTTTAGTGAGTAACTCTCTCAGATCTTTCACTTTAAATGAGTCTTCCTCTCAAGTTTTAACGAGTAACTCTCTCAGTCGAATAGGTAGTTTAATGAGTAACTCTCTCATGTGGGTGGACCATAAATATGGTTGTGAGGGGAGAAGGATTCGAACCTTCGATCTTTGCTGACGTGAGACAGCAGAAAATTTTCCAGGCGCTCCACCACTGCGCCATCCCCCACGCTCGGCTGGCCTAGATATCTTGTAAGAATGGCGGATGAGGAAATTGCCATGGGCGAGACGACTGCATCAGCAGTGCACTGCCATTATATTTTGAGAAGATATGGATCTTCGCATTACAAGTGCGACGCCTTACCACTTGGCCACACGGGCTGTTTTCAGGAATCGTTTGTTGAAACAGAACGGTTGAATACGCTCGGCGACCATTTTACCCATCCATGTAGTCGGCAATGTTTTCCGTATATCTCCACCTCTACTTCACACTATTCGAATTGCTTTGAAAAACAAATATCGTACCATTATCATATCAACTCTTTGCATAATGGAATTTGACGTGTGGTATACCCTTCATAAGAGTGCGTGGAGTCATATATATGACATCATGTTCCAACGCGCCCCATATTATTAAGTTTGATGGAAAGTGTTGGGTGTATTCTATCAAGGTGCCTATCCTGGGATGCACATACAAAATAGGATATTCTATCCAGGCGCGATAGAAAGCTTGTCAAGACACTCCCACAGGTGCTGAGCCGACAGCTCTACATCGAGCATTTGCAGGTCAATGAGTCGATTGCTGACGGGAACCGACTCCACTCAGACTAGCCTAACTGAAGCCTACAACTACTCACCCTTGAAATGCTGCACATTGCCATCAAGCTACAGCTCTTCTAGGAAGCAATGGGCAATGCAAGATTAACTTGTTCGATGCCGCAGTACGATTCCGCTCAAGATGCCGACGTATGACAGGTCAGAGTGCGTCAGGACTCGGCCCTGGACTCACCGCCAATATCCATTCGAGCCCTGGGCTTCGGCATCTAGGGCGAATCATAGTCCGGTTGGTAAGAGAGGTTGGTGGAAAACCCTTCGGCGGCAGCGGGCGATACCGCATCCAGGGAACTAGCCGAAGCCGCAGAGTGGATCGGTTGGTCATAGCCGTTTACCCCTCCGCAGTTTTCCAGGGTACTTAATGGCCGTTGGGCTTCTCTTCTGCTCGATACCAAAAAAAAATTGCTCCGAGAAACACCACTGCGACTGAATCAACGGCGCGTGTCATCCATCGACTGGGAGGCGTTTGCAGTGGACGCACCTTGGGGACTGTGCGGGAGCTTCTACAGAATTTCCCCGGCACTAAGTAAGATATCTTACACGTGCATTACGCATACACCATCCTTCTTCCGACACCGCCTCAGCACTTCGTATGAGCAGCGAATCCAAAGGCAGCACGCCAGGATCATTCAGCCCACACAGCAATCTCACTAGAGTCAATACCTATCCGCAAGCCGAGTTCACCATCCCGCCGCAGGACACGCTTACACAATGCCAAAGTGCCCAAACTCACACCGCCGATGCCCCGGCATCAGCCAGATCCAAGGCGAATCGCCAAAACAGCATTGCAACTGGAGATGAAAAGGCATACCGACCCGACGACGAGGAATCGCAATCTACCACTTCTGCTCACACTGAGGTGACCTACCCAGAGGGCGGCCTAGGTGCCTGGTCCGTTGTTCTCGGTTCGTTCCTGGGACTCATCGCCTCGCTGGGTATGATGAATACGATAGGCATCTACAATGCCTACATTGCCGAGACGTACCTCCGAGATTACAGCGAGTCGACCATCTCGTGGATCTTCAGCATCTACGTCTTTCTGTCCTTTTTCTGTGGACTTCAGATCGGACCCATCTTCGATGCATACGGCCCCCGGCTCCTGGTACTCGCCGGCAGCATCTTGGTGTGTCTGTCCAACTTTCTGCTCGGCGTATGCACTCTGTACTGGCACTTCTTCCTCGTGTTTGGCGTGCTCGGGGGTCTTGGCACCTCGCTCATCTTCACCCCGGCATTTGCAGCGATCAGCCATTTCTTCCATGTCAAACGCGGCAATGCAACCGGGGTGGCTGCCGCTGGAGGGTCACTGGGTGGTGTCATTTTCCCGCTAGCCCTGCAGAAGCTGATACCTACTGTGGGATTTGCATGGGCAACTCGTATCGTCGGCTTCATCACGCTCTTCTGCTGCATCGGCGCCTGCATCCTGATCCGCTCTCGTCTGCCCCCTAAGGCGGGGCAATCGGTATGGCCCGACTTTCGGATTTTCCGTCACAAGAGCTATCTTCTCCTCACCATTGGCATCTTCATGATGGAATGGGCCCTCTTCATCCCAATCACCTACCTCACGACCTTTGCGGTGAGCACCGGTGCAATCAGCCAAGCCTTCTCGTACCAGCTCCTCGCTATTTTTGGCGCAGGCAGCTGTCTTGGTCGCTGGCTCCCAGGTTTGCTGGCTGATGAACTGGGCCGTTTTAATAGCATGATTGCTGCATTGGCCGTATGCTCTGCCACATCGTTGGTTTTCTGGCTCCCAGCTTCTCTGCTTACGCCCACCAGCGCATCCGCAGCTGCAGCCATCAAAGGCCTCTCCATTGTCTATGCCGTCATCTTCGGATTTGCCTCTGGGTCCAACATCTCTCTGACGCCGGTGTGTGTAGGACAGCTGTGCGACACTAATGTGTATGGGAGATACTACGCTACATGCTACACTGTCGTGAGCTTTAGCACGCTTACAGGCATACCGATTGCCGGGGCCATCATCCAAGCCACTGGTGGACATTACTGGGGCGTAGTTATCTGGACGGCAGTCTGCTACATCTTGGCATCATGCTGCTTGGTGTGGAGCCGCGCTTTGCAAGTGGGCTGGAAGCTGGGGGTGAAATTTTAGGAAATTGTTTTTCCTATTGCGGTCACGAGAAAGAGTGCTGGGTGTGCAGCAACTCCTACAAGTGACCGCAAACTACGTCCAATGACGTAGTACATGCTGGTGTTTGACGCTAAATTGATGCTACATGAGAGGAAGTGTAAGGGAAAGGAAAGGGAGGATACAAGTTGATCAACTGGCTAGGTGTTTGCGGATGCAAAGCTTATTGCAAGACTCACGCTCGTTTTTGCACTCAATCTGGGTAGGTAAGGTGGTACAGATTGATAGTGCGTGAAACCAAAAAAAATCAACGCTCATTTCCACTGCATGCTTGCCCCTCATCAATCTCGCCGCCCTGTTCTTAATTGCTTTTTCTTTGCTAGATGTGAGGCTGAGTATCCTATATTTAACCGAATAATTGGATATGCAGACGATCTTCCTTCCGACCCCTCCACCCGGGGATGAAGGCCCACCGTACCACATACAGCAGCTAGTTACTTACCGAACAATGCCGGGTCCTGCAGCCACAGCAGCACCTCGCACTGATCTGTCTTCCGTACCGCACCCGCACGCCTCAAAGCCAACACAGCAGCCATGTTCATATCAGGCAGGAATCTAGAATGGAGCCACGATCGAACCAAAGATCGAGCGCCACCCACGATCTCAAGCAAAGTAAAAAAAATCCATACCTGAAACGCACGGAACGGTAAGAGGAAAGAGGGAGAGAGAGAGAGAGAGAGAGAGGACCACGTGATTGTGATGAACGCTGCACACTCCACTTTTTTTTTCGTCATCACGATCGTTATCCGTGGAAGAGACGAGAGAGATGGGACATGATTTCGAGTCTAAAGAAATTACGGGACCTGAGGCTTTGCCGCACGATGCTCCTTGTCGCGCAGGAGGCCCCAACCCAAAAGAAGAAGAAGAAGAAGAAGAAGAGGACGAGCACGAGTGAAAAACAACAGATAACGAAACAACGGACTGGGACACGGCGAAAAATGGTTGAAACGCTCATACACTGTCATTGCTGTTGTTGATGTTGTTCTTGTTGTAGTAGCGCTGCAGCGTTGCACCACAGTAAGTTACTTACTTAGTCTCCCACGGCCTATTCCGTTTCTTGGTACACCGTATGTAGACTTGCTTGTTTCACATACTACCTGCACGAGAAGATGCTTTTTTTTTCTGAATTCGTCCCCGTTTAGGAAAGAGGGACGCGGGACCCAAGGCCCCGCTGTCTGGTGGAAATATGTGAGCGGGCCCTTCGTATACATACTTGGCTTTGTGGGTGTAAGTTCTGGTGCCGTTGTGCTTGGCGGGGCCCTCGACCTGACTTGGTTACTTTACCCCTGGACGACGTGGCTGGCGGGAACCCCTGGCGCTGCAAAGAATGTTGGTGGCCTTGCTACACGCCTACACGCCCCAGGCTACAAACACGTGGGTCGCCGTCGGCGAGGATCAGCTGGCCTGTTTTGGGGCAAAGTTTATTTCGAGGAGCGCGGACGCTTTGTGAGGGTGCATCACTTTGTCATCCTTCTTTTACTTTTTCTTCACTGCAGTCCTGTGTTTCTTTTCCCGAGCATGGGGGGACAAGGATGCAAAATCAAATATCGACATGTTTGAGGTTAGACACGTAGAGGATGGAGAGTTCAGCGGGTGTTGGCGTGGGGGCCTGCCGCACTGCTCTTTTGCTGGCTGCGTATCCCTTTCTTTGTTTATTCAAAAGGCTACCGGGTGGGTGGGAAACGCATGGAGAGATCCGTTGGACGGTGAGCGTAGGTTTGACCAGTGCCACGGTGTGGCCTTGAAAAGCTCCCACGTCGCATGGTGTTCATACTTCGCGCGTGGTGCTGCGTATGCTGGAAGCCCTCGCCGTGTCCTACTTTGTGCAGCACGTCTTCTCGCGTGCAGGGCAGCATCGCGGGCAAGCCCACCCATCATCCCAAGCGATGGGTACTCGGCGGCTGCATGGTTGCTTCTGGGGAAGATTGGCGAAAAAAAGACGCAGGGGTGTATCGTGGCGAGGATTCTGGACGATTATCGACGTACCATTCGCGAAGCCGCGAGTCGTGCGCTATCGATGGCCCTGCACCATGGACCTGAGCGAAGCCGCTTTGGGCCAGCAACTAGAGGGCGACTAGCCACAAGGCACGCAAAGTCAACTGAGATTGGCAAGCCGACATGGCACGAGGATGCTTGATTCGCGTGGAGCGCCACATATCCGCTTTCCCGATCTGGGGGCCGAGAGGAGACGCCGGTGAAACGTACTGGCAAGTAGACGTCAATCTCCCGTTGCTGGTGGTGGTGTCATTGCTGCGGCTGATGCGCGAGCCTTGTCTATTTGTCCACCCCACACCGTCCTTCCCTTGTTATATTGTACTCCCGTCCTCTCTCTTTCTTCACAGCTTTCTACTACCAGTTTTCCGGGGCTTAGTGCTTGCTTCTAGACATGTCGAATAGATCACGCAACACCGGCCTCTACTCGAGTGACTCGAGCGACTCGGAACAACCCTCGATACTACGACAAATCGACCTGGACATGGAGATGAGCAACAGCCGCCAGTCTACATTGAGGCGCAAAGGCTCGGCACTGCAGACATCGGTTGAAGTTCTCAGGTGCAAATTTGGAAAGACTGTGGATGCACAGGAGAAGATACGGGATATCAAACCATCCAAGGACTGGACGCCAATATTCTACTCGGTCTACCACCAGCGCGAGGCGGCTCTGTCACACTTTCTCCGAGCAGGTGCCTCGCCCGACGATGTCACTGACATTGGACAGCCACCACTGTGCATCGCCATCGCGAGTGGATACACTGAGATTGCCAAGATTCTTCTCGATGCTGGTGCAGATGTCAATGCCGCGACCAAGGATGGAGGAGAGACTGCACTGCACATTGCAGTCAAGAATGGCCGGGTCGACCTGATTGAACTACTCATAGCCTACGGACCTAATCTGGATCTCAAGACGCATGAGACTGGCGAAACACCTCTTCACTACGCCGCATCGAAATCCGGGTCATTGGCGGCAGTCATGACACTACTCCAGCACGGAGCCAGCTACAACACGCTCAACGCAAATGCTCAGACCCCAGCCGAAGCAGCTCTGAAAACCAACAACATCAACGGCGCCGTCGCCATCATCAACGCAGCAAACAGCAAGCGCAACCAGCTTACAAAAGAGAAGGAAATGCTTTTGAAGCATGTAAAAAAGACACAGGGTCGTTTCTCCATTGGAAACGATCTCATCGCCGACATCTTCGCTGCAGCTTGCGACCCCGAGTCTAACGTGCTCGTTGAGGCCATCAAACGAGACGATGTCCTGTTGGTGGAGATGTTCTTGGAAAAGGGCTCTGATCCAGACCGCCAAACAGCCAGAGGACTACGACCCATCTTTGTGGCGTTGGAGTACGCGGGCGTACCAGTCATCAAGGCAATCCTCAAGCGCAACCCCGATCTCTCAGTTTGCAATGAAAAGGGCCTGAGCGTGCTCCAGGCCGCCCTTGAAAGCCCGTTGGTGCGAGAAAAGGACACTGTCCAAGTTGTCGTTGAGGCTTTGCTCGAAGAGGGCGCTGATGCCAAGGTCACATATCGCGATGGCAAGACGCTGCTTCATCGCACTGTGTCGTCTTTCAACAACCTGAAGATTGCGCAGATGCTGGTCGATGCCGGCGTTGAGGTCAATGCACAAGACACCGAGGGCAACACAGCGCTTCATGTTGCAACAACACACAGCAAACTGTGCATTGATTTCTTGTTGAAGAACAAGGCAAATCCTCAACAAACCAATACCAACAGTCTGACGCCCATGCTCTATGCTACAACCCACTGCAGGAAGGTGAACGAGCCTGTGCTGGACACTTTGATCAGGGTATCAAACTTGCGCAAGACGAACGGGCACGACCAGACCCCCCTCCACCTCGCAGCTGCGAACGGCCTGGAAAAGACTGTGCGTTTCCTGCTACGAGCTCGTGCCGACGCTACAGTCGTCGATAAAAACAAGAACACGCCGCTTCTTCTCGCCGTAAAGAACCATCAGTGGTCCGTCGCACCAATATTCACCACATCACCTAGCGTCAACGCATGGGACAAAGACGGCTTCAGTGCGCTGCATCATGTGGTCAGCAGCCCACCAAAGGCCCCGGCTACCTGGAAGGACGTTGCTGTAGCCACTGCTTCATTCTGCGAACGCGGCGTAAGCCGAAGCATTCGCGACCGATCAGGCGCCACACCGCTTATCTTAGCTGTCAAGACGCTTCCAGAAGAGGGTCTGCCTGTGATCGACGCATTGCTAGTGCAAAAGATGGGCCCGAAGGTGAACTGGAACTTTGCTGATCATGAAGATCACAGCAAGTACGACGCACTGTTCTACGCGGCATCCATGGGCAAAGCTACCTTTGTCGATGCACTTCTCAGGAACGGCGCTACTTTTACGTTTGAAGACTGGACTCCGAAGACCGCTAAGCTGGGCTCATCAGACGAAGTCAACAAGCAGATTTTGAAGTCGTTTGCGCAACGTGAGTGGTTTCGCCGTACAGTCGTACTTCGAGAGCAGGCCAAGACTCCTGAAGATAAGATTGCGCCTTTTGCAACAGTGTTTCCTGCTGGCGATCTCGAGCTCATGATTTCTATGGGTCTGGATGTGAATGATTTACCCAAGTCACCGCTCGGAAAATCTCTGCTGTGGGCTGTTCTGAGGCATATCTCGCTGCAACCCCCAATGGCACCGGAGTACCTGAGTGAAGTCCTCAACTTGGTTTTGGAAGCCGGCGCCGATCCTAATGCAAGCAGCACCAAGCATGTAAAACGCTCGTCTTGGCCGAGTGCAAAAGAAGGATTCACAGAGGCTCAAGCTCTGACTATCCATCCTCTTACCTTCTTGCTAGAAGAATGCCCGGGCGTCGACATCGAAGTCATCAGACTCCTACTCGCACGAGAAGCCAAACTCAACCTTGCCTCGAATTTCTACAAGGGCCGCATCCCACTGCACTGCGCAGTAAAGGCACGTCGTGCTGACGTCGTAGAGGAGTTGCTACTCGAGCAAGGCGACGTAAATTGTACTGATCACATCGGACGAACCCCACTCTTCCTTGCCGCCGAAAGTGGTGATTGCGAGATCCTCGATAATCTGCTTAGCCGAGGCGCGAAGTTGGACATTGTTGACAACGAAAAGAACACTCTCTTGCATGCTGCGGCGGTTGGTGGCAGTGAAAATGTCATCGCGTCTCTAGTACGCGCTGGTGTGAAGCTGGGCCAGAAGAATGCAAAGGGCCTTACACCTATGGCCTGTGTGCGTGGGGGGCTTGAAGAGAAGGAGAAGCGCAAGATTGCCGACATCTTGAAAGAGTCAGTGAATCTGAGCCCGACAAAACCCGAGACGAAGATTCAGAAGCAAGGCGACACGAAGGAGAAGAAGGCCAAAGACGATACTTCAAAGAACGACGCAAAGGAGAGAAGAGCCAAAGAGGAGGCGTTGAGACAAGAGCAAGAAAAGGCGGCTCGTGAAGCCAAGGCAAAGCAATTGGCGGAAGAAGAGGCCAAGGCTCGACTACAGAAAGAGCAAGAGGAAAAGATGAGACGTTTGAAGGAAGAAACAGAGGCCAAAGCCAAACCCCAGATCCAAGTCCAGGTCCAACCTCAATCTCAGGAAGAACAACAACCCACCCTGGTATCCGAGCTACCATCACCGCCACTCAAGAAGCAAAAGTCCACCTCGATATTCCGCAAATCGACCCTCTTCTTCTCCCGACACAAGTCCGCCGCGCTCCCCGCCGACTCGGACACGGCTCCCAAGCCCAAGCACGCCACTCTCCTCAGTCTACGCATCAGCGGCCCCTTCAAGCACCGCAACTCGACCAGCAGCATGTCGACGATTACACAATCCCCCAGCACGCCGCATATTCTCGAAAGCCCAGACTTCTTCGCAAAAGACTTTTCCGCGTCCTCGCCCAGCAGCGACAAGCCCAACGTCGCCGTCTCGTCGACCGTCATCCAGAAACGCCTCTTGTCGCCCCGTGTCGACAGCGGTCTGGGCCAGCGCAAGAGCACGGGCAAAGAAGAGATTCTCGACTTGAATCTTGTCAACGAGAAGCTGACGAGGAATTACAAGGAGCAGGATGGCAGTAGCCAGGGTGACAATGAGTTGAGCGATTGGCTCAAGGTGAGTCAGATGCTGGATAACATCTAGATTATTTTCCCTTCTTTTCTTTCTTTCTCTTTTCTTCTCCTTTCTTTATCTCAAACGCCCATTTACACACTTACATTTCCTTGACGCACTCTTTATGCATCGGTCTACGTCTTACAATGTCACATACACAATCCTTCTCTTTTTTTTTCTCTCTCTTTCTTCTCTGTCAGTTTCTGGGATCTCTGCAAGCGTGGAGTAGAATTTCTGGATTAGATTTGGAACTCTCCTTTCTTTTCCTTTTCTCTTTTCTCTCCTTATTTTCTTTCCATTCTTGGACCTTTGAGCGGTGGGGGCACACGTGATGAGACTGTGCATGTATATATTGATACCCTCGTGGAACTCTTTCTCTTTTTTTCCTAGATGGGGTTTGTTTCTGGTTATTCATGGGTTAAGCTTGTACGATTACGTCTTTTCTTGTCGTTTCTTCTCTTCTTCTCCTTGATCGAGTTTCGGTACTAGAACAATATTGCTGTTTTACAGCTATCCAGACGCAATGTGAAATTGTAATTTACGAATTTGGTCACTTCTGACGCTAATGTGAGTTGTTTCTGAACTATGATGATTGGCCAAGCAATGCTTGTTGTGACTACAACCCTGTTGATTGCTGTTGCCTGCAAGTCTTACGCACAGCCATATTCAAAACCATAGACCAATGCTTCGGATTCTTTGTGGCGATGGCAAGAGCAATACTCAATTAGCCTCATGGATAAGAAGATCAAACAGCCAGAAGACAAGCACCAACGTCTTAGATTTCGCGACTCTAGAACTCCAATTTCAAGAGACTGAACTATAGACGAGGGATGATGTCAAGGCTTACTAACTTGAACTCTATTACATACAAGTTCATTTACGTACAGCCAAGGATTGCCACAAGTATGCATGTCGATGGTGTAACATGACATCAACTTTCTTCGAAACATGTGCGCGTCCTTCTTATTTGCCACATTGCACAGAGCGCACGTCAGGATTTACACAACATGAACCTGTAATCTTATTCCGCGCCAAGGATCCACCATGTTGGTGTTACAGAAACGCGGGAAAGCCTGGAAATCCTATCTGGAATAGCATTGCCCTGAGAAGAAGGATCGACATCGGAAAGTACAATGTAAGCTTAACATGAAACTCTGGGGATGCTCAACATTGATTTCACATGTAAGGTGTTGTCTTCCGGCTCAACCTTGCTATGTAGCTGTGAAACTGCTCATCTCAACGTCCTCCGCCCATGAGATGATTAATGTTCATCAGGCTTATCTCAGTTCAGTCTGGTAGCCCGCCAGACTCTTGTTGACACAGCATTCTCCGCATAATCGTACCATCCTGGCCCATGAGTCCTGCCCCGATAATTGCTTCCGCCAGCATTCTCAGCTGCATGGGCGCTTTCTCGTCGCCGTAGTGCGCAATTATATCTGCCTTTGTGATCTTCTTGCGTAGGTCGTTCCAAGCGCCGCTCTCCCCAAATGCCTCGCACTCACTCTGGGTTTCGGACGTCCACCAGGGAGGCAGCAGGCCTGAGCGTTTTTCGGCTTGAGCAACGTATTTCTTGAAGGGCTCGATGCCGGACGAGGCACCGGTGTAGAGACTTTTAGGACTGGTCTTTCTTTCGAACTGCATCTCGTCCTGTTGACGCGGACGGAAAGAGTCTATGAGAAGCTTGTAGACGTCTTGTTTGGGGCGATCATGCAGGTATTTTCCTTGGTCGAGGCGCGTGAAGGGGTTGGGAACGTGCTGCTCGAGGTCTTTGAGAACAGGCGCAGAGGTACTGTTGTCTGCTCCCGCGCGAGCATTGGCTTGTTTGGCGCAGATCTTCTTGTGGATCTTCCAGTCGGCTTTCTGACAGTCGCGGCTGCAATACGCAGTTGTTCTGCATTTCGCACACATATTATTATTATTGTTCCATTAGAGTCTAGTGAGCTCGAGGCTATGTAAGACTTTGGCCGAGGCCGTTCTAACTAGATTTATTTACAAATACGAGTTTGTGCTTGAAGTGTGTCTGTGGTGCTTCGGCCTTTGTCTAGGTAAGCGATAGCTATCGCTTACTAGACGCCTAGTGCTAAAGAGCATTTTGATAACAGAAAGAGATGTTAGAAAGCAAAGCAATCCTCCAGCGGGCTCTTTTAGGGATAAAAAGAAAAAGTTTCGACTTAGGTAGTTTTAATGAGTAACTCTCTCGTTCATTTTTAATGAGTCTTCATCTCAAGTTTTAGTGAGTAACTCTCTCGTTTCGACTTAGTGCCCAGCGAGTAGCAGCTGTCTTGGCGTTTCGACTTGGTGCTTCTACAGAGGTAACCAGTCTCTGTATCAGCGTTTGGATTTGGTGCCACAGTAGGCGAAGACTGTCTCGGCGTTTCGACTTATTTTGCTATTACAGACCAGAAAACTGTTATAGCGTTTTTGAATTTTGTGCCACAGTAGGCAAAGACTGTCCTGGCGGTTGGATATGGTGCCACAGCGG